TACACCATCACAAGTATTTCTGACAGGTATAGATGCAGGCCAAACACAAACACCAGAAGGACATGCAAAAATCCAAACATCTCATCTGTGTATCTCTTCACCTCCCCCAGATTGGCCGTGTGCTCAGATCCAGTATTGAACTATTTAGTCACCTTCGGAACTCCAGAAAGGAAGAAAGTCATTCCTCTGTTCCAAGAGACTACCTAAGGAAGATGATAACTAGATTACTTAAAAAAATGTTCCATTTTTAAAAGTCTATACTCTTTATGTACCATCATGGAAATGGAAACCACTGCCACTCTGTAATCTCACCCACACAAACAAAGCATATCCCCATTCCACATCTATTTATTCCTTTAAGCCTAGCACTGTGAACGCATAGCCTCCTCCACAGAGGAATGCATGCTTTATGTACCCCTTTAAGGCAGCCTTTTAAGTCTCCTCTCCTTAAGGTTCCTCGTAAAACTTTCCTCTTCAACAAAGCACTTGAACCCTGCTGCTGTCACCAAACAGCTGAATCAACTATGGCTCAGTTAGTAGCACACACAATCAAAAAGTTGTAGATTCCAATTCCCACGCTGGCAGAACGATTAAGGGCAATATTCCAGTACAGTTCTGACAAAGTTCAGCATCGCTGAAGGAACCATCTTTCTGATGTAAAAACCGAAAGAACTATGGATGTTGTAAATCAGGAACAAAAATAGAAGTTGCTGGAAAAGCTCAGCAGGTCTGGCAGCATCCATGAAGAAAAGAATCAGAGTTAACATTTCAGGTCCGGTGACCTTTCCTCAGAACTTCCTCGGTTCTGAAGAAGGGTCACTGGACCTGAAATGTTAACTCTGATTCTTTTCTTCACGGATACTGCCAGACCTGCTGAGCTTTACCAGCAACTTCTGTTTTTGTATCTTTCTGATGCTTTGAACTAAAGCCCCATCTGCTCTCTCAGGTGGACTCGCAGCAGTACTTCAAAGAGGAAAAGGGTGTTATCCCTCGTTTCCTGGCCAATACTTATCCATCAGTCAACATCACAAAAAATTAGCGCTCTGATTATAAACTCTTTGCTATTTGTAGGGCTTTGCACAAATTGATTTGGATGTGAATGTAGGAGGAATGGTTAGTAAGTCTGTAGATGACACTCAAATTGGAGGTGTAGTGGACAGCGAAGAACATTATCTCAGACTACAACTGAACCTTGATCTGGTGGGCTCAGGAGTAGCTGATGGAGTTTAATTAAATAAATGTGAGGTGCTACATTTTGCTATGGCAAATCAGAGCAGGACTTATACACTTAATGGTAGGGTACTGGGGAGTATTGCCAAGCAAAGACCTTGGAGTGCAAGTTCATAGTTCCTTGAAAGTGGAGTTGCAGGAAGACAGTGTAGTGGTGTTTGGTACACTTGTCCTTATTGGTCAGTGCACTGAGTACATGAGTTGGGATGTCATGTTGCAGCTCTACAGGACATTGGTTAGGCCACTTTGGAATACTGCGTTCAATTCTGGTCTCCCTGCAGTTGGAAAGATGTTGTGAAACTTGAAAGGGTTCAGAAAAGATTTACAAGGATGTTGCCAGAGTTGCAGTTTGAGCTACAGAGAGGCTGAGCAGAAGTTGAAGAGTGACCTTTTAGAGGTTCATAAAATCAGAGGGGCATGGAGAGCATGAATAGCCAAATTTTCCAGGGTGGAGAAGTCCAAAACTAGAGGGCATAGGTTTAAGGTGAGAGACGAAAGATTCAAAAGGGACCTGAGGGGCAACCTTTTCACAGAGGGTGGTGCATGCTTGGAATGAACTGCCAGAGGAAGTACTGAAGGTTAGCACAAATACAACAGTTCAGAGGTATCTTGTTGGTTCATAAATATAAAGGGTTTAAGAGGATAATGGGCCAAATGCTGGCAAATGTGACTAGATTAATTGAGGTCATCTGGTCAGCATGGACGAGTTGGACTGAAGGGTCTGTTTCAGTGCTGTACAACTCTACGATTGATATATGATTCCCATTTTACAACAATGAATATGCTTCATGAGTTGTAAACTGTTTAAAAGTGTCCTGTGGTTAGTGAAAGATACAAAGCATAGGCAAATCTTCTTTTGTCATCATCTTCTGTTCAGTACTCAATTCCTCTTAAGCCTACGATGCACACAGGAGTGTTTTCTCTACATTAAAAAGGCAAAACAATAAAAAGAAGCTGTCACTGGCCTGAAGATTGCAATAGGTACTGCATTTGTAGGGACTGTAAAAATTACTCAACACCTCAAATGGGGAGCCACCTAATGTTGGGGCATTGCAAACTGAACCCCAATAATCCTCAAATGTTATGAGGTTTGAAATGATAACAGTAACTTTTGATCAAAATTAATTAATTGTGAGAAAGTTAATACAGGTCTATCAGAGTTTTCACAAACTGAGTAAAAGTGGACAGCACGGTTGATAAGTGTTCCAAAATTACTAACTGGTACTAGGAAACGTTAACTGATTCTCTTTCCATAGATGCTGCCTGACCATTTAGTTTATACAAACAAGCTCAGTTCTTATTTCAAATTTGCAGTATTCTGCATTCATTTCCAAAAACACTACCCAAGTCCCAACAAATCATGACCAAGTATGAAACTGGCTGGGTCAGAAGACAGTTCACATGCCGCACAACAACTGAACTAATGGACAAGTATTATAACATCAAAAGGACTTGAATGGCAACCAAGAAAACACAGCATAATAGCCGATGCACTAAATTTTATCCTGTCCAATAAACCTCAATTTTCTCCAATTGGCAGAAACTGTATCCAGCCACTGGCCTCCATCCCACCTTGAGCAAACATCACAAAACATGCCTTTTTTGTGAATAAATTGAACAAATAATGCCATCCTCACAGAGGAAGTAATTATAATTCAGTTGCCCCGCTCCTTAAATATAAGTGTTGAATATAAAAACCCTGGCCTTAGACATTCAGAGCAAATCTCCAATCATGATTACATCCTGCTCCCATATTAAGTGAAAGGGTATAAATAGCCCTCACCATAGTGGTGAACCATGTCACATCTTGCTGCTGTTCTTTTTTCAGCACAAGTAGTTCCCTTATTTTCAACAACTCTTCAGTCACCATCTAGAATATTATCAGAAGCAAATTCTCAATTTAAATGTATTGATTTTGTTAGCTTTCAGCCAGAAGTATTTTCTTCACTGACTCTCTGACTTTTTTTGGGGAGGGGGCGACTGGGCTGGAAGTGACTGAGAAAGCTGGTGATCTTGATTCATATCAGTACACTTCTTGTCATGTTAAGCATAAAAGAAAATGCCAGGCTATTTCTCTTTTGCATCAAAGACAAAGCATGGCTGCAGAGGAAAATCAAACACAATGGCAGCTCTTCCATAATAAGGCACACTGAAAGAACATTTAACATTATAAGATTTCATCTCATGGTATTCGAGCAAAAGATTTAGCCATCAACTGCAACTTAACTATTTAGATAGCACCATAGCAACTAACAAAATACTTAAGCAGATACACATAGTGGATAAGAGACTTCCCCTGGTGAGTACAGAACCAGTATCATAATTTAAAAATAAAGGGGTATGAAACATTGGTCCGAGCTGAGGATCCCACCCCACCTCCCCTCCCCTCCCCTCCCCTCAGATGGCTGTGGAACTTTAGTCTTTTGCATATGTTCAAGGCAGAGAATGATTTCTGATCACCAGAGGTGTACATGGTAATGGGGGTGGGATAGGTAAAGGTGATTAAAGTGTTCAATCAACCATAACTGCATTGACCAGCAGGCAGGTTTGACAGGCTGAATAGCCTACACATGTCCCGCACATTTCCATTTTAATTCATTAAAAATGTTCAAGGTATTCCATTAATTTACAGTGGCCTTAGGTTATAAAAGAGGAAAGGAAATGGACCTTATTCAGTGACACCTGCTGGAAAAAGTCAGCATGTGCATATCAGACAAGGACAAGTTCTGAAGTCCCTGTAATTGATCAGTTTATTAACACTAAGACATATACGCTGCAGCATGAGTAAATACCCTTGCAAAAGAAAATGAAACATGTCCCTTCCTAAACCAATTCGATTATGGATTAATATATAATTCCAGTTATTAATAATTTTGTTAATTCTGGCCTGAAAGATATTTCATTTTCATTTAGTCAAAATATTTTTGTACTCGAAACACCACATGGCCTTTCAGAGTCATAAAGTAATGCATTGTTACTGGACTAATATACCTTCAGAACCTCAAGTAAATGTCCAGAAAATGCCAATTTAAATCCCAACCACACAGTCTGAAGATTTGAATTCAGTTTTACTAATTCTGGAAATAACCAGCAAGTGTCCATTAAAAACAACCACAAACCTGCCGACTGTACTAAAACACCAAGAGGTTAACTAATGCCCTTTAGAAACAGAAGCCTGTCATCCTAGTCCAATTTGATCGAACTGTGCGTGCAATCCCACATCAACATGTTATGACTCTTAAACAACCTTCTGACATGTTCCAGTCGGCTACTGAATTGTGTTTTTTTAAATTGGCACACCATCTTGTCAGGACACTTAACGGTAGCTAACGAGTGCCGACGTTATCAAAAACATCCCAAGGGGAAATAAAAACTTGCTTCATTCAGTTACATAGCCCAGGGAAAGGAACCTGTTTGTTTTGCCCTTGCGATGTAGTAACTGAATTATATTTAACGATGCCATGAGACTAACGATTCCTTTTTTAAAATTTTAGTCGCCGGTGGGGGAATTCATATCACACCATCGATTTTACTTCTAGCTTTAACAAACACAGCCAGAGCTCTCGAGTTACTCCCGCTGTGGTTGGGTAACTAGAAGCTGCCACTTCAGTCAGTGCTGATATGGTGCATGGCCTTGTGGTTCACTTAGCACCAGCAGCCAAGCGGATGGGAAGAGGTGGAAGGCTGCACTGGACCAACTCACGATGCCCGTTGCTGCTTAGTGGGGGGGGGGGGGATGGTTGCAGTGGAGTTACAATGCAAACACTTACCGGCGGTGCTCGCTCACCGTCCGCCAACTCCTGCACCGGCCTACTCCTCACACACTCCCCCACAACCAATCCCACAAAATCCCGCGATCTCCCACGGCCACGCAAGCCCCCGCTGTCTCTCAAATCGCGCGCCTGCGCTCTGAGCCCGGCACGCCGCTGACGTAAGCGATCAGCAGTTGGAGCAGCCGGGATCAGGCGAGCACGTGGCCCAGAGCAAGGAGGAGCAGTTGAGAGGCTGGAGGAAGGGACTGGTGATGGTTCAGCGCCGCCTGTTACTCGGCCATGCAGGGGGAGGGTGGAAACGGCTTGTTTTCTTTATCACCGGAACCTCTGGATCATGTCTAACGCGTCGGCCGAGAGAAGGCTGCAGTTCGCTCTGCTGCGCTGAACTTTCGGTTGAGTATATGATAACTGGTCTCTTCTGTTCCTACGATTTACAGAAAGTAGTAATGCAATTAATAACATATTTAAAAAGGGAAATAATTAATTGAATTTAATGCTGCAATTAAATGATTAGTTAATTTATTGATTTTATTTTAATAATTAAAGATGGCTAGACAGTAATATGTTATAGCTGTACCAGCTGGGTTATTAAATGACAGTCAACAGTGGTTAAACAGTCGCCATTAAGCTAGTATTTTTATTCCAGATTTTAATTGAAGTCAAACTTCACCATGGTCACATTTAAACCCCTGTCCCCAGAAGGTTGCCTGGGAATCTGGGTTATTAATCACCAACATCACCATTACGCCACTGCCGTCCTTTTGCAACCTTGTCAATTAAGTAAGAAATCAAAGAATTAAGAAAGGAGTGATACTTCACTAGAATTGTGTGAAGTGTTAATGATGTTGGAGGGAAATGGATTGAAACTTTTTACTGTTTATGTTAAGGTCTTTTCAAATTATCCTGCATAGCTCTTTTATTTTGAGTTTAATAAACTTTTTATTGTTAAAAGTTCATTGGCAGCCTTGCGTAAATGTGTTCAGTGACTGACCGCCGTGGAACCAAACTGCACAAATAAGTATTGTGATCTATCAAACCAGATTTCACTCTGAGATCAGACCTGTCCAGTATTACCATCGAATGGGATCATAACATGTGGACTATTAACCCTAAATGGAGAGATTTGCAGCATGTCACAGTCTACTAAGCCATCGACTACAGAACAGATCCAGCAAGTACACAAAGGTGTTTTTACAAATCTTGGCTGTCTTCCTAGTGAATATCATCTCAAAGTAAATGAAAGTGTGAGACTAACTCAGCATCGGTCAAAAAAAGTTCCAGTGTCCCTCAAGTCTGGGCTGAAAGTCAAGATAGCACAACTAGAAAAGGGAGTAACAAAAAAAAGTGACAACTTGAACAGAATGGATTAGCAGCATGGTGGCAATGAACAAATCTAGAAAACTGAGAATGTGCTTAGATCCAAAGGACTGCAATAAATCCTTGCAGAGATCCTGCCATCTCATGCCAACTATTGTTGAAACATTGCAAAGTATAGTTACTGGCAAGTGAAGCTGGATGAAAGCAGAGATCTGCTGATCTCTGGATGCTATTTAGGAGATAGAGATCCTGAATGCCATTTGACGTTTCCAGTGATCCAGAAGAGTACGAACGCAGCAGTGCAAAATAGTGATCCTCGAGTGGAATGATCTGAGGTCTATGGATGTGGAGACACAATGAAAGAAGCCATTGCAGTTCACAATCAGAATCTGGTACAACTGCTAGAGACAGCTTGCCAGATGAGTCTGAAGTTGAGCAAAATAAAGATACAATTAGAGACGCCTGAAGTCAAGTACGCGGGTCATGTATTGAAAATAAAAGGACTTCTTCTGGGTTCTGACTAGTTTCAATGAAATGCAACCACAGTGTGCTCCAGGAGTTATTAAGCTGGCAGAGACATTGAATCTCAAAAAAGAACATCTTGCTCAAATCAAGCAAACGCTTCAACAAGATGCAACTCTGAGTGCTACCGGAAGTAACGATGAAAGGATGGCTTGAAACCATCATGGACATATCAATCCCTATAAGAGAGTATAGGGTTTACAGACGGCTTCTTATACAAATGAAGTAATGTCATTATCCCTAAAGATATGAGAAGAGAGATGCTGAAGTGCATCCTGCAGGACATCAAGGAATTAGGCTGAGGAAAGCAAGATAAGGACCGTACTGCCCAAATATGAGTTAGTGTAGTGTATATAGCAAGTACGAAGGGAAGCAAGCTAAATAGCAGCTTCTGACACATGACATCTCAGACAGAACATGGATGAAGCTTGGAACAAATGTATTCAATTTTGTAGGAATGAATTCACCTGTTAGCATCAACTACCATTCAGATTGACATTAGCTGGTCCAACTGCCAGCAATGGCTACTGGTGAAATTGTTGAAAGCTTGAAAGCACAGTTGAGTTGTTATGCCATTTCCTGGCATTGTGATCAGTAACAAAATCTCTCCAATTTATGATTGAAGAATTCAGTCACTTCCTAAAAGATTGGAAAATTCAATACCTTATATCATTTTCACCCTATGTTAAGAATATAAGAACATATGAAGTAGAAGCAGAAGTAGCCAATTAGGCATGTCAAGCCTGCCCTGCTGTCCCGTAAGCTATGGCTGATCTGCCTGAAGTGTCAACTCCTCATTCATGCCAGCTCATCATAGTTCTTATTTTCAGGATATTAAAAAAAAAGTCTACTATATCTTTTTAAATACTTTTGTGATCTAGCCTCCACACATCTCTGGGGTGCAGAATTCCAGAGATTCACTCACCCTCAGGGAGAAGTAATAACTTTGCATTTCAGTTTTTAGTGAATGTCCTCCTCTAGTCTCTAACTCTCTCCCCTTGTCCATGATGCCCCACGTTTGAAAAGATATTCTCAACATTTATCCTATAAAGCCCCCTCAGAATCTTGTATGTTTCAATAATAACCACCTATTCTTCTAAGCCCTGATGAATAAAGGCCTAACCTGCTTTAGGCATTCTTGTTAAGTCAACCCCTTCACCCTAGGAATCAGCCTTGAGTCTCTTTTGAACTGCCTCCAATGCTATTATCTCTTTTCTCAAATACAGGGACCAAAACTGTACACAATACTCCAGATGTAGCTTTACTAACACCCTGTACAATTGTAGCAAGACTTCCGATTTTTGCATTCCAAACCTCTAGCAACAAATAGCAAAATTATATTCATCCTTAATTACTTGCTGCACCCGCTGCTAACCTTTTGTGTTTCATGCACAAGAACACACATCTGTCTGTGCTTCTGGAGTCCCCATTTAAACAAATACCTTCCTTTCAATTCTTCCTATCAAAATGCATGACCTTGCAATTTTTCCTACACAGCTCTCCATCTGCCATGTTTTTGCCCATGCGGTCAACTTTGCAGATTCATTATGGCCTCATCACAACATGCCCTCCCACCTGTTTTTGTTTCACCAGCAATTTGGATACATTACACTCTGCTTCCTCCTCCAAATCATTAGTATAGATAGTAAATAATTGAGGCCCTAAACTGATCATTGTTGCTCACCATTATTTCTGGTTTTTTTCAACCTCAAAAGACCCATTAATCCCAACTCTCTGTCTCTTGTGTGTTAACCAAACCTCAACCTATGCTGATATATTACCATCATGTGTAAAAGCTTTTTATTTGACAGCTCATCAAATGCCTTCTGGACAGTACATCATCAGGTACTACTTTATCAGCTCTGTTTATTATGTTCTGAAAGAACACTAACAAATTCATCACTCACAATTTTCCTTTCACAAACCATATTGACCCTGATTGCATTAATCTTTTCAAAATGATATTTAAAGGCATCTGGATGGGTATATGAATAGGAAGGATTTAGAGGGAGATGGGCCAAATGCTGGCAAATGGGACTAGTTCAGATTGGGATGTCTGGTTGACACGGATGAATTGGACCGAAGGGTCTGTTTCCATGCTCTATGACTCTAGCATTTTAAGATTAATGGACCCATAGTTTCCTTCTTTCTGTTTCTGCCCATTCTTGAGCGGGGTATCTCATTGCGATTTTCCAATCCATTGAAACCTGCACAAATTACACTGTGTTCTGGAATACTTCTATCAATGCCTCCACTATCTCTGCAGCCACTTCCTTTAAAAGTCTTGGATACAGGCCATGAGGTCTTGACAAACTTGTTTGCCTTTAGTGCTTTGTCCCTCATGATAGAGACTGCTGCAAAATGTTTCCTCCCATTAACACCTTGCTTATGTGTTATTCTGGGCTGCTTATACTGTTGTCTACCATGAAGACCAATGTAAAATATTTGTTAAAGTTATTGGCCATTTCCCTGTTCTACATTATTAATTCCCCACTTGCATCATCCCAGGGTTCCACTTGTTGTTTAGCAACTTATTTTTGTATACTTCTTGACAATATACTCTTACAATCATTTTTATCCCTCTTTATTAGCCTATTAGTCATTTGCTGGTTCCTAAAAGAATTGCCAATCCTCTGGCCTACCAATAGTTTTGCTGTTATGTTTACCTTAGTTTTTAATTGGATACTGTCCTTTACTATCTTTGTTAACCACAGGAGGTTCAACATTCTCATTGAATCCTTTTTGAAACCAGAATAAATTTTTTGCTCAGTGTTATGAAATATCTGCCTAAATGTCTACCATTTTTCGTCTACTGACCTTCTCCTTAGTCTATTTCCCTAGTCTGCTTTAGCCAACGTTTTTTTCATGCCTCTGTAATTGCCCTTATTTAAGTGAGGGTGGCTTAGCTCAGTTGACTGGACAGCTGGTTTGTGATACAAACAGTGTAGGTTTTATTCTCGCACCAGCTGAGGTTAACATGAACGTCCCTCCTTCTCAACTTCTTTTCATGCCTGAAGCATGGTGCCAATCAAGTTAAACAACCACCAGTTGTGTATCTAATGAGAGAGTAGCCCTATGGTCCTTTGAGACTATGGTTACTTTTTTGAGGGGTTGGTTAGCTCTGTTGGCTGGACAACTGGTTTGCAAAGCAGAAGGAAACTAACAGCCTGGGTTAAATTCCCACACCGGGTGAGGTTATCATGAAGGACACGCCTTCTCAATCTCTCACCTCGTCTGAGACCTGGTGACCCTCAGATTAAACCACTACTAGTCATATT